ACGTTCCGTGCTTCTTCGTTGTAAAAATAACTTATGCCGATTGCTTAGTCCTCCATCTACCATCTGTGTCCATTAAACTCACATTTATTTCACGATTTGCCTGCAGTACAACGAATAATAATTTTTGCATTCCGTACGCTCGATCCGTACATGCGGATCCGAAATATTATGCAATTATAGGAGATTACTATTTTATTCTATTGCACAACGTAGCCTTCGAACGGAGGCCCGATGTATCTCGGCGATAGAAGGATTGAAAGAGACATTTGCTGACTTATTCAGGCCGCCGACGGAATTGCCAGACGTTTCCGGCTACCCCTTGCTGCTGGCCGAGCTGACCAGAGACCGCAGATGGTCCGCGACCGATATAAAGAAGCTCGTGGGCGGAAACTTGTTGCGCGTCTTCAAGGAAGTGGAGGACCACGCGGCGAGTCTGTTGCACCAGTTTCCGGCGGAGGAGTGGATTCCCCAGGAGCTCGTCGAGGACAGCGCCTACTGCAGATACCACGACACGTAGAATCGTCTTTCTCTCTTTCTGTCTCTCTCGCTCGTTTTTATCGTCGACGTTATCATTTGATTTCCACGAGATGTTCTCTCACGTGAAAAATAATAAAAGGAACCGCACTGTATCATCCTTGTACCTGGAGCGCTCCAACTGTTTTACATTTTTAATAAAGTAGCGGTAGATTCTTCCGCCGTTTTTTTTGTTAAAGCTCCCTCGTCTTCTTCACCTTACGCAACCGATATGACGTTTATAAGCAAAAAATTATCTTTTTTCTTATCAGGCTTCCTCTTTCATTAGACGCATGACGATTTATCTGACGTCAGTTAAGTTACTCTTTCTCCAGGAAGATATTCTTCCTGGAAGATGTTTGCGTGCGAAATGATATTTTATATTAATCGTTAATAAAAAAATATCTCCCCTCGTAGATCAGCAGACGAAAAATAAGAGCACTTTTATTATGCAATTCGAAACCGCGCTATCGATTCAGTCTATTCGGAACTTGATCGGTTCGGCCGTTATTGAGATCCGATAATCTCAATCTCGGATGCTCACAATCGACTCGCGTACAGATGCACGGCCCGACTTCGCGCGTATCTTTTAACGAGGACACGACCTAGGTCTCTCGATAACGTCAATGTGATTCAAAGTTTTTAATATTTATAATATATAGTGTAAAGGCTACCTACAGATTGCAATACCGATATGTATATATATATTAAACACAATTCGTGTATATATCTGATTTATGTCATGTATGATTTTGTTTTTTTAACGCTGCTCGATACAAACGCGAAGCACGGCGGACTAACAAATTCGTTAAGCATTGTTTGGCCCAGTTGCGTCACATTCAATTGCGATTATGGTCAAAATGGACGCTAGCAGTTAAGTCAATTTACTTTGTCTTGCGCCTCTTCTCCGCGTCTTCACCGTCGTACATATTATATGTTGAAGCAATTATTTAATCTCGCGCACACATCCGTACGCACGGACGCGTACGAGACGCTACAGAGGCGGACAAGTCGCGCGCAGTATGTCAATTACATCGTTTAATATTTAACTCGAGGCTTATATTTCAATCGGGGACGGGCGCCGTAAATAATCGGGCTTGATCTGCCATCTGAATCCCGTGCGGTTTTCTAAGGACAACAAATAAGTGTGCGGAAGCTTCGACGTTGCTTGAATAATTTATACCTGGCTTGTGGGATTGTATCGAGATTACTAATAGTATTTGCATCCCTTTGTGCGTGCACGTTTTTTTCACGCCGCTCTGAGTAACAATTAATCACAGATCGCGATGATAAAGTCGTCGAACTTGAGAACTGCTCGCGAACACTTTCCTGGTACGTATCGGTAATCTAATAATCGAGAAAATTATACTTAATAACGCGTATCTCACAAACGAATCAACTTTTGCATATATTTCAAGCCTCATTAGAATACATTATATATATATATATATATATATATATATATATATATATATGTATATATGTATGTACATTATATGTATATATATATATATATATATATATATATATAATGATTTTATTTTAAAATTGATTCTCGTAATACTTAAAAAATATTACCAAAAATTTTTAAATTAATTTTTATTTTATTATAGAGAGATAAGAGATTTTTATTCTATTTTAAGAAATTGATGTAAAGTCCTCAAAGAACCATAAATATGGGTGTAGATTCTGTTTTCTGAATTATACAATAAAAAATATTAAATTGCCACAATGATCTATTAAGTGGGAGGAAAAATAAACTTACAAAAATATATATATTTTAGTGCAATATGATAAAATATATACCAGATAACAGATGAAAACAGTAAATATGTTCTAGAACATATAATCTTTCGATCTAGTTGATTTAATTACTTTCTTTATAGGCCACGCTACTAAAGCGTATGTTATAATTAACAGTTTTGCTGACAGAACGATAACTCTCTCGACGTGATGAAACCTGTTTGGTCATAATTCGAGCACATCGCAAGCGAGGTATTTACAAAATTAAAACGTAACTCAATAAGCGCGACTCTATATTCCAGAACGGAGGACTCTTACTTTATCGTTCGATCTTTTAACGAAGCACTAAACTAAAATTCGAGAATTATCCCAGACAGTTTTATGTCAGTCACGCGCCGCATCCTTCATCAGACCTTGAAAAAGACCGGCAAAAAATTGTTGCTTCCACGCAACTTTCTACAATACAGATAAGAACAAATTAATTCTAATAGGCTACTCCGCCGCGCGTCGCGTATAGCCGCGCTAGTTCTCACATTTTTCAGAAATCGTGAAAGTGCTGCATTGATATACACCACGACACGCAGCACGAGCTTTCGCCTTCGTCGCCGGTTCGCTTGCTCTCGCGATGTGGGTCACGTGCACCCGTAACACAGCTAGGTTGCAATATTTTTGCTTTTGAAAACAACGCCGCGCGCGGAGAAGCATCATCCGATTACTTTCCTCTGCCGGTGCCGCGTTGCTCAATAGTGCGATCGTAAGCGGATTCAACGAAGCGCATCGAGCCGAGTTTTGGGTCTTGTTGACGGAAAAGTAAAATTTGTCCGGTTACCATTTCGTAATCGTTCTTTTCGCTCGTCATTTAGTTGCTGTAAACCGATCGATTATGTCGGCATAAAAAAAACAGGACGCGATCGAGTGTTGTTTCCTGACACTTGACATAAGTTCTCCTTTAAACCGCAACTTTTTCAGGGACTTCTTCTTTTTCTTCCTGCCAGTTCGCGAGTGTAGTTGCAAGCTGATGAGACGGAAAAGTACGCGTATCTACTAATATTCATAATTTCACATTCAACTACAGTCTACCGCTCTACCAACTGAGCTATCGAAGACTCCATAATTTCACATATAATATCTACAATTCCACATGGTAAAAGTAAAGAAATATCAAAAAAAAGGATTGATTGCCAAAAACGGGCAAAAAGTATTAGCGAATAGAATACAATTCCGCTGTAAATTGCCATTGTGTGTGTACATAATACTCAGCGATAGAAAATTTTTCTCTGCAAGCTAACTTGTAAATTTCCAGAGAACCTGCACCGCGAGCTCTAAATCCCTTAATCTACGTCGCTATTATTTAACGATCCCCTTTACGTGCGCGCTTTAAAGTATCGACTTGAAGTAAATCTATAACGAGATGTAATGGTTACAGGCAATATCGAGCTGCGTGATATTTAATTCACGGTGAGTGCGCATCATGCCTCGACGTGCCGAAATTTTTTCCAGCTACACGCGCAGCGTTTTTGATCGCGGGGGGGAAGGGGGAGGGTTCCTCTTTTCGGGGCATGAATATTTTACAATTCTCGTGATTGCGTATCGCGCGCTTCGACCGGGCTGGAGATCTTCGCCAGCTGCGACGCGCGTTTTTCGCGAGCTGCATCTCTTTTTGCTCTCTTTTCGGGACGCTGCGCGCTGCCGACCGCGCGGCTCCACGCGACCCGCGATCATCCCACTGTAAACGCGAGCCATCGCGGCGCGCAGACGAGCTTGATGCTGCGCGTGCTAGCCACGACGGCGACCCACGCGCTCGCGAGGCCGAGGGGAGCACACACGGTCGGGTCAAAGAGGCCAAGATAAATTGCAATCTAATCCGCGGGAGTAAGCTGGGGCCAATTACGATTCGTTGCGCGTCCGCAGGAAGAGAGGAGTGGCGCCGTGCCGTGTAGGGGCACGACGCGCGGTATAACACCTCCCGCCTCCGAGGCCTTGCGGCAAATGCTGACGGACACTAAAATCCGCGTCTCTTTTAAAACACGCCGCCGAGGAAACGCGAAGATCTACGACGTCGACCGATCAGGATCGACGGCAACGATGTGCGCCGTCGTCGGGTGTACCCGCTCGGATCGGGAAAATCATCTTATTCGCATTAGAAAACGATTTCATGCGAATTGGAATGTTATTTCGAACGATTAGTACGTAGTCAATGTTATCCTGGATATTTGGAATTATCAGTATAGATTATTATCACGAGACAACACATTGATGCAGTACATGTTAATATTTATAAAGAAATGACAAGATTAGATTGGAATAATCGGGAAATAAGATAAAAAATTTGATTTTGACGTGCGTAATATTAATTGAAAGCTCTTAATAATGGTTTGACGAATAGTCTTGGCATAGATTAAAAAATTTATTAACTTCACGTATAGTAAAATTGTCAAATAACAAAAAGGTATTTAAAATAATTACGGAGAAAGTTCTACAACTAAATTGCATGTATATGTTAGCATTGTTGAAATACCTTCCACTATTAACGATAATGAAAATATCTAATTCAATTTTGAGCGGGTACCAACGATATTCGGCTAGATTTTTCTCTCAAAACTGTCACAGGTAACGATCCATTACCAGGCGCGGCCTGGTTAAACCTCACGATTCAATCCGCTCCTGACGGAACATCGTGGCGCGGAAATAGTGGGGGATTCGAAGATTAGAGTCACTCCTCCGCAAGCCGAAACTTCAGTTTAGTTTACTAGCGGTCCTCGAGTCGAATCCTCCGCCGCGGCCGGCACACGGAAACGTACGCGGTCGCCGAAAGGGAAACATCAGAGAGAAAGAAGGAAAAAAAAAATAACGGAGCCCACGCGAGTCGCGAAGCGATGACGTGAAGCGGCTGCGGCGACACGGAGGAGAACAAAACCGCGAGTCGAGAGGAACGGACGCATTTTCGCTCGTTTTTCCGCGCCGAGTCTAATCCGCTTCAACTGCAGGATCCGACGGCACACGTAGAACGAGATTTTAATATGCGCTTGTGAGAAGCTTCGCCGAGGGAAGCTGCGAACAGGTGAGCGCTCGTCTGTCTTCACGCGGGTTGTCGTGAAATCGAGTATCTCGACAGTGCTCTTTTTGACAAGAAGAGAACTGAAACATCTACTTAACTCTTTCTTTCACATAAAATTACATTCAGTTATTATTTCTAGAAATATTATAATTTATTTCGCAAAACTACGTCCACGTAAAATTATATCTAATTACGTTATTTTAAGAAATAATATAATTTACTTAAAGATCCCATTGAGGGACCACGGTTTTAGATTTATTCTTGGCAAGCATTTTCCATAAGATAAAAGACGTTGAGTAATATTTTTCTTTTTAAAGACAGAAGACATTTTTGCTATTGTAAGTTCTCTCGGTAACTTTCGTCGCAAATATCGCTATGGAAGATTCGTTTATTTGACGCGAGACGTCAAATTTTCCACGGGAATGCACGTGGTACGTTAAACATTTTCGCACGCGACGCAAATAGTACGCGCCGAGAGGTCGAAGGTCCTTCTGCAAACTTCTCTAATCTTGTATATTATAGCTACCTACTGATAGTGACACAGTTTAGCCGCACGATCGCACATGACGCATGCTCTAATAAGTTTTTTTAAAACGTTATCACGACATATACGTGTGTGTGAGTACACGCGGATTTGTATTTCCGCGAAAAGAAGAGACTTATTACAACTTTTCAACGAAGACTAAAAATTCTCGAATTACACATAAATATTGATTAATCGAAGCTTATCAATTGGGAAAAAAATAGCGTGTTAATAAACATTTTTTTTCAACTTATTCTGCATCTTTGTTAAGATCTTCTTCTTGTATCTCTCTTCTTACTTTGTACTTAAAAATATCCGCTCGAGTCTGTGTGAACTTAAGAGTTTATCAAAAGTGAAAGCATCTCTCGTAATAAAGAATATTCAATATTAAACTTTTTGGACATCTGACGTCACGAAACCGCAGAGTTTGTTATGCTCGCCTTGCGATCATCGTTTTTCAACTTACGTTCACTCAAGGCAATACGCTAATATACAAGTGGCCTCCTCATTTCACGTAAATTCTTGGAATTTAATTTTGATACGTCAATCAAAATTCCCTTCCCTTGAGAGAGAGAAGTAGAATATACTTATTTAGCTCCTCAAATTTAAATTTTTTCCTGTCACATGGGTGACAGACCTTTTATTGGAAAGTTTCCGACACCATAAGTCGCAGCACTGATCGATTAATCTAAGTTTCGGGGCGGTACATGAAGAAGTTGGGAAAAACATAATTGGAAAAACGCGCGCGCGCAGCGCAAGAGATTAATAGTGTGTTGCCCTCGAGAAAAGCGCGTCCCTCCGGCACTAAATTACCCTCTGGCGGGCCGCCAGACGAGAGCGGTCGGTGTATCATCTCGCTTTAAAGAAGTTGAATTTCGGATTTATGCGATCTCTCATGCGCGGTGAGAAGGACACGTTCTTAACGAACGTGTTAGCGCCGTTTCTTTTAACGCGCGTCTCGCGTTTATGAATAGATTTTAAAACGGATGCTGCACACACACACACACCGCGACGGCCCCTCGCGCGTTTTCCCTTGCGCGCCCGTACAAAGAGAGCGTTTCTCTAAAAAAAATGCTGTTTATATCCTCAACATCCTGTGGGCTTCGATAAGATTCACGTGTCTGAAATATTCCCGAGATAGCCTCGTTTTTCTGCAATAAACGAACAAAATGCTCGAGTGACGCAAATTGAGCTTTCGTTCCGAGATAGTCGTATACAAATTTTGCATTCCAAAAAATTTTTAGCAATATGAAATAACGATATGATATAACAAAGTTATTTTATCAATCACAGATTTCCCGTAATAAGTACACCTATTATAACTTAGAAAGTTTAACAAATTAATTTTAATGTGGAGAAAGAGCTTTAACTATTTAATTAATTAATAATTGTTATTTTTACTGACTTTTGTAATGTATGCGTTTGTGTGGTTTTTTATTTAATTATTAATTTAATTTAATTACTTATATATTACATGAAAAAAAAATTGCTACAAAAATATTCTCTACATGTTTGGAAATGTACGTAAATTTAAATTATATTGATATTATATTGAATTCAGTATACTAACTCAAATACTGGTGAATTAACAACTTAGCACATTAATAATTTTCGACTAATCATAATGTTGGAAAAATAACTTTAATATCTTCCGTCATTTCGTTTCACTCGAAAGTCCTCGAACGTCCGCAAACGCTCCATTTCGTATTAATTCGGACGGCAAATTCACGCGCGGTATATCCGCAGCTGCAGTGTGGTCATTGCGTAAGAAATAACTGTATCTGTAGTCATCCAATTTAATATTGTATCTACAAACGCGCGGCCGCGTTAAATGATTGAAGATGAGCGCGGCGTAACCGTTGCGATTCCCTCCGCGCGAGATGCGTGGCGGCAGATACGATTAGTAGACGCGAAATCGAAAGCATCGCGTATAGAGCTGCGGGAGCTGAGCAGGGTCGGATCTGAACGCGCGCGCCTCGGCGATTACTACGAATCGCCAAGGACGCGCGAGCGGACAATAATTATGTAAACGCGATTCGACGAATCGGGAATTAACCGCGTCGTATAGTACAAAAGGATCATGTAGATCACTCGTAAGACGCAAGCGATCGACCGATCCGCGAGAATAGAACGCGATTGCTGTGGAAATGTAACGAACGGATCGACGTAGAACGAACTTGGAGAACGATTCCTCTTATTATGTCTATACTCTAATAAAATGATCTTGGAGTTTTCGAGTTTTTTTTCTCAATTGGCGGACTGAATAATATTATATAGATATTTTCTCTTGGTGTTCCTATGAACGTCGACAGGTTTTCCTGCAGTACATTCACGAACGATAATAGCAATATCGGTGGCTCGAGTGTGCTCGGTGTACATGTGCGTTTTCTACCGGCGCGGCGGCGAGCCGATCCTGAGAGCGAGAGCTGGCTGCGTGCCGCACGCTTTCATCGATCCGCCGGGATGCATCTGATTTAATAACGATCTCGACGATTTCACGACACGCAATTTCGCGGGCACAAAGGGGAGTGAATCGCCGCGCGGTTAGACAGACGTGCAGCGTCTTTTCCGCGCGGCTTAACCCGCTAATCGAGCTCCTCTCAGACGCTCGTCATCGGTGGAAGCGCGCGGGGAGTAGCGCGGGAGGAATCGCTCGTGCAACACTTTGCACGAATCCTGCAACGCATTTACGCGAATGAGGCTTCTCGATCTGGAAATCCGAAACGGTTCCAGAGTACGATTCGCTCCGACGGTGAAAAATCGCTTTACGCGAGATAATAAAGATTCCAAGCGCATTAGAGGATCCCGCGCGCTCGCCCGTCCGTCGTGCCCGCTCTCGCGTGGAAACGAAAGCGTTTTTGAGAGACAATCGAGCCCCGTCGCGCGGCGCGCGATTCGTTAACCGGTTAATGTACCATGCCAATCCCAGAAAGGTAAATCATTATGGGATAGCGACGGGCACATCCGCGCTATCCAAGTCCTCGCATCCGGTAAAAGTCGACGCGTCGCGTGCGCTCATCCGTTTCTTTTTTCAAACACTCTCGTGGAATTTGCCAGCGCGGCTGACAGCTTGTCCTCTCTCGTCGTGCCAATGTCCGAACACCCGCTACTTCGGCGTCTCGGGCGACGTGAAGTCGAAATGCGAGACGGTTGTGAATGAAAAAATTGAATAAGTCTCGGCCGAGAAAGAGAGAGTTCCTCGGAGGGCAGACGACGTTGTACATATACCTCATTCTCGCGACATCGTTGTCTTCCCCGGAGGACAAATCGCGCCCGCGTGATTGTCCTCACAAAGAAATCGTGACGAACCGCGAACGAAGAAAGAAAGGGGGAAAAAAAAGGCGCTCGCGTTCTGTCATTCAATGCAAATAAGCAGATGATTCACCGGTCGCCGGCTCGGCATTCGCGCTCGGATGAGACGCGGGGACATATTTCTTTTTTTTTCCTCAACATAATTTAATAATAATTCATCTCGTCCTTTTGCAGACACGTCGGTTGAGAGGGCAGAGGATCCGAAGGACGGGAAGTTAGAGGCCAGGGCGGAGGACGGGACGGCGAAGGAGACGCGAGGATGAGATACAAGGTGAGACGCGCGGCGTGCAGCTTGCTTATACTATATCCGAATAACGCTGAAGGGGACAAGCGTGTCGATAGGGACGGGGATAAGCCGGAGTACGAGCGGAGCCATTGTGCCCGACCGTGGTCTCGTCAGGGCCCCATTAAAATTCAGCTGCCTGTTCCTTAGGTTCCAATTTGGCCGTGCCCGGCTTTTCCTCCTGCGAGAACGTTAAAGTCCACGGTTTACCTACCTCGCTGATACATACGTGAGCGATTATACTTGTGCAACGTGATTACGGGCGCGTAGATACGAGAAATTATATTGTATTACGCGCGTTTATACATTAAAAAAAAAAGAGAGATCATTTATATTCCGCGATTATTTCTTCACGATTACAATCGCCCCTCAAATATTTCGAATTCTTCGGCTTCTCTTCATTCACGAAATTAACATCGTGAATGAAAACTAAATAATTCATTATTATTTCGCACGAAAGAAAGTTTTCTGAAATGCTGTAATGTCTAAAACAATTTTTATTATGGTACATCATTATAAAAAAGGTTTGCTATCTCTCCTTTGATTTATGAATTATTGAGGGGAAAATATTTTAACATTTCTAACAGCTAGATCTCCGAGAGAATAGAGAATACCTTCTTTCTCTTGTTTCGAGAAAAGTTTATTTTAACGGCCCGTTTGCTCGATGGAATATAATTATTCAGGTCATGTGCGAAGACTCAGATCGGCGGAGGAGCGCGCAGCAAAGCGACGCCGACAGATAAAGTCGTCTCCGAATCGAAGTGCGGCAAGTCGCTTACTTGAAATTTGATGCAAATCCTACATGTTCGTATAATGGTCTCGTTTCACATTCGTGCCGCGTCGGAGGAAGCCGGCGCGCAATTGGAAGTGTGATTTATTTAAATTAGATTCTAACTGACGGAACGCGTTATGTACGCCGAAAGATTACCTCGCGCTTCACCGACGACGCGAATCTTTGTCTTTGACGAGAACGACATTTGTCCTCGTCGAGAATGACATGCAGATTGACGGAGAACGTAACTCGCGGATCGGAATCCACCGGATCGTCCGACGCAAACTTGAAAAAAAAAGAGAAGTACTTCGGTAAAAAAATAAAAAAAAAACACTTGATACGTAAAATAATATAATTACAGGAGGGATCGTAATTTGCAAATACGGCGTCTCCTTCCACCTCTGTTGACAGTTTCCTTTCCGGTTAGTCGGAGCCGTCGTCTCGTTTCTCTCGACGCGGCACGTGTGTGTGCCGATCTCTGCATAAAACATAAGGACATCTACGCATCTCTCCGCCGCCGCCGAAGCGCGTTATCACTGAACGCGCGATGCGCAAGATGGAGCAGATTCGTTTTCTGCACAAATACAATGGAATGGATGCTACTTGCGATATACCTGTTTCACGCTGACTTTTTAACGTAGCAAGTGAAAATCGAAATCTCGCAGAGCAAAGTGCGATTAATTCCAAAAATCGATCTTTGAGATACAAAATTGAGATTTATTATGAAGAAATAATCTGAGGATATAAAAGTAGTCTCTTGTTTTCTTATAAAAAATTATACGCAAAAATGAAGATTATTTTATGCCCTCCCTTTAAATGTTGGTATAAAAAATGCATCCATTCCATTGTTTTTTGGCAAAAAAGTCTTGAATGTTTCAATTGTCGTATTTTTTCACTGTGCATTGAAATTCATAGTTTTCCTAATTTTGCCTTTCAGCGAAAAAAAAATCGAACGAGTGTTTTCGTCAATATTTAAGTTAATTAAAATTCGTCGCGTTAAAAATAAAAATATAGTTTTAAGAGTCCTCTCTAACCCTTCGATTATTTTTCGACTGACTTGCATCGGCTGTCATTCCAGACATTTAGAACTTGATTCCGTTATTACATATTAAATAAATTTTACTTCTGCGCGGTCGTGGATTTTCGATTCGCAATCGATCAATCGGTTTTTTTTCCTCGATTATATCCAATTAAGAGGAAAAAGTAAACTGCTCGTGTTCGATTATACTTCGTTAGAAATCGCAAGTAGTCGAACATTGCTGCAGCCAATTCTGGTTTTCTTACTTGACGGAAAAAGAGGTCAATCGCGTGCAGGTGAAGGATAATTAAAATAAGACCAGTCGCTAACATCGAATATCACATTTTATTCGTGCTCGAGGCAGATAAAGCGATGGCCGTTTACGGCGATTATCTATTATCCCCTTTTGCGACATGGCTGCGCAGTTTGCGCATTTTTTCTTTATTTCTTTTTTTTTAAATCCGAATAGTTTCTCCAATTGGAAATGATTATAAATAACCGCGCGTAAAAAATGTCCCAACGAAAATCGAAATCAAATCACGGATTTGGACGCTCCCGGCTGTTTCAATGCCTGGACAAATAGTATACGGATTTTAAGTTCTTTTTCACATAGAACGGTCGCGTTCATCTCTACTTCTTCCGCGTGATCCGTTCGTCCCGTCTAATCGGCCGCTTCGCTATCTACGCGCGATACGGTTCGCACATTGGCCCCGTATTCCGGCGAGATCATCACAGAAGCGATTGTTCCTGCGGCGGCGACGGCGGAGAGAAAAAAAAAGAAAGAAGGCGGGCGGAAGAAGTGGAGCGTGCGGACACGATCCGCGAGCGCGGGCGACCGGCGCGGCGAGTTGAGATTCGCTCGAGAAATTTAAGTCAATGGCAAAGAAGAGCACTTGAAGCGAATTCATTCCACGAAACCCTTCTCCGGAAGCTCGTTAAGCGGCGGTTACGCGGCCGCTCGCATGTCTCAATCGTCCGCGTCAGAAATGTCGAATATCATGTCGCTCGATCGATGTACAGAAGTAAGCGGATTATCATTTACACGTACGTCGCGGTTTCGCCCGGACTACTTATACCGCGAGGTATACAAGCCTAGCCGAAATCGTGACGAAGTGGCGAATCTATCAACCGCCACGAGAGCCGCGAAAGCGCCGGGAAACGCCGACGGATCATCTGACGGCTCCGGATCCATGGATTCATGAAACAAAGATTTTTGCGAAAGCGAAGAGATTTACAGAAAGCCGAACTTTCCACCGCCTTTATCCTCTCGCGTCTAACACGAGCGCGGACGTTCGCTCGAAGTCGCGGGGGAGAGGGAGCGAGAATTAATCTCGCGCGTGGAACAATTTCGACGAACGCACGCGCGTGCAGCGGCAGTGAAAAAGTCGGAGAAAAAGTGATACACGTGTATCCTCGCGGCGCGGAGGTACCCCGGCCGCGATCGCGCTGATGCGACAGAGAAGTCACTGACCACCTTCGCTACCGTAATTGTATTATCAAGTAATAGGGCGATAATGGGTTTCAAGCATCAACAGCCCGGCGGCGGGCACTTACGACCTCCCCCACACTCGCGTCGCTGAAATAGGATCCTCTCAATGGCGCATTCAGGCGCTCCACTTGCGCGAGAGCGGCGGCAGGACGCGCGAGGCTGCAATGGACCCCCCGTGTGTGCGACGTGCATGTTAGTCGCACTTTTGAGACCTGCGCACGTCAGTCCTCCTGCCCGTCAACCTACATCTCGCGGCATCAGTAATCGGTTGCAAAAATAATTTCGCCGCTGTAGGATTATCGTCATTATCAGTCGGATAAAAAACCGCGAACACTATTGAGAATAATTATCGCGCTTTCTCGAGCATCGCTCGAAGGACGTTGGCTTTACAATTTCTCAAGTAAGAGTTTGGACATCATCCATCATTTTCAGATTAACTATGGTTCACACCAATTAATAAATACAATGCAATTTATAAATACAAGAATAAATTTAATTTAATAATTCATATATGCACGTATAAGTATGATTGTTATTGATACTGTAATAAGTAAATCTATAAAATAAATAATATAAAATATAAATTTCTTTGTAATTAGCCCGAAACATATTAACGTTTCGGGCGAATCAATTAAAAATTATCTGAATCCATCGGTGTTCAAACTTTTACTTCTCAGGAAATCTACTTGGTCCTTCGAAGCGCTACTTCTCGAAGCGATATCAGTTTGATATAAACATATTAAATGTATCTTCTCATGGAAAAACAAATAAACGAGTAGAATGTTACGGCACATTTGTGGTATATCCACCGTATCTTTTTGCGTGAAGAAACGATCTAACGAAAATACATAGTCTCTTCCTCTTAGAACAGACTGCAAATATAAACGAGAATAATGAGTCGGTCTCGTCGAGATTGTCGTAGGAGTCTCTCGGCCGAGAGAATTCTAAAGACAACGACCCTCGGTGCACTGGCCAAATTTCTAAATTAAGCCGTTTATTTTAGAAGTGACATAAATTACAAAATTTTTGAGCGCACAATTAATTTGCGTGCGTGGATTAACGTTGGAATTTCAGAAGCTTTTCAAGGACTGTCGATTTATGTATTAATTTTGAAATATATGGCTCAAATGATTTATACCAGATTTTACAGACGGATTTTAATTTCGTAAAATCCGCGATTCTCCATGATAGAAGGGATTGGCCATGAAGCTTATCGCGCAAATAAACCTGACTGTTGAGAATCCTGAAGAGGAAAGAAATTTGTATAAACTGTATTAAAATATATTCGCGGATGATTTTTAACATGCCGATTTGATCGAGATATGACAGAAACGTGCGGCATGCGGTATACATATATAATAGAATGAGACTGACACACGTGCCGCACGACGATCGGAGTCAATGCCTCTCTGATAACGTCTCGCATTCGTCTCGTACGTGACGAGCTACAAGATACCGATGATAAATAAATACCGTACGGTACTTCATTACGAGTGCGTGATGTTTGGAGTTTACTCACGCCGAATCGCAGCTGGAATTAATAATCAGAATTATAGTATTCGACGAAGAAGAGAGAGCGTATACTGATAAATCAATCCTATCTCTAATACTTGAAGTTAAAGCGGCTACTGTACTTAACGCGAAACTGGAAGTGCAAGCCAACCAAGGAATTTTAATAGATTCGTTGGAGTTGGAAATTATTTATTATTATATTGTGATTGCGCGCCAACGCCGTTAACTGAAGTTCAAAGACTTTAATGAACGCTCAATTTTGCAGCTAACTCTGGCATAATTTTGCCGTCTTATTACGCGAGTGCTGGTAGAATCGACAAAGATGCGTTTCTTCGATCAAACGGAATGCAAACAAACGGCATGGAAGACAAATATAGAAGCGATTCATTATGCGAATGTCGCATTAATGTTCACTGAAATTGTCCATTGATCGACTCGACCTCGCTTTTCATTCCTTCACGTGAATTCCAAATGATATTACTCGGATTTCTTTTTTGATGATTTAAAAAAAAAAGAGAAAAGATACCTTATTTTGCAAATGCAAAATACCTTATTTAGCAGCATAATTAAAATATGTTTATATTTGCAAAATTAATTTTAACGTTTCTAACAATACATTGTCATTTTCTTCATTAATTTGAAAAAATTGTATTGCTTTGGACGATTTGAACGTATAGCAATCTATCTAATCTTTAAATTTAAAGATTAGAAAAGTGGGATATATCGATTCCTATCGTCGATTTAAGTTTCATAAACGAACTCATAAAAAAGCGAAGAAAAATGCTCTTAGAGAAAAATGATTTCGCCTGCAGTGATTAAGCTTAATATTTAAGTTTTCACTTTGCAATTCTTTCTTACTTCTGTGACTCGCACAATCGAAATAGATACCTATAGGAAATAGAATTGAATTACGAGTGTCGGGTTCCGAGTTGTTTATCGCTTCGCCGTCGGTCGCGGGAAGGATCTATCAACCGTGACGTAAAAGAATTAATTACGCGCAACGAGACAAAAGGCGAGGGGAGACAGCGCGAAGCTTCGCATAATGCACGACGAGAGATAATCGACGATGCATAGCAAAATCATCACTCGTCGTCTCGACATTTGCGATTGCAGTCTAAAGGACGGCAGGAAGAGGAATTCTTCACGCGAACGTGAGCCAGTTCACCGAGTACTTCCACCGATCGGGATCAAATAATGCGATTCCGCGCCGCGGAGATCCTCAATGTCAGACGCGCGCCGCCTCGCTCTCTCTCTCTCTCTCTCTCTCTCTCTCTCTCTCTCTCTCTCTCTCTCTCTCTCTCTCTCGGCTCGACGGAATTTACATCCGCGGTCTTTCGGCTCGACGTTAAACGGTGAAATCTTGCGGCGCGCAAGGACGACGCGCCGCGCCGTATATCGGAAGCGACGTCTATCGTATGACAATTACCGGTCCGCAAGGACGCGCAGATCGGAAGCGAATAATGAGGCCGATGACGATTGCTGACTTGCGAATGGCCATCAGTGTGAAAGACATTTGTCGAGGGATGTCATTTTCGTACGTCCTCCTTGAATTTCCGCAATTTTCCGCGCTATCGTGCGGTAAATAATTCACATGACGATGACTGAACTTGGGGGAGGAGGGCGGAGGAAAATTACAAAAGCGGAATAGACATTCTACGACCGTGCATTACTACCGTCAAGTACGATCATTAAAAATTAGATTGTCACATATTACGAGGACAAGAACCAGAGGAGACAATGTAACGCAATTTTGCGCGGTTGATACAAAGGGCGCATACGGAGAGAATTTTATTTTAAAATTTACCCTGAAAATCATGTTAATCGTGGGACAATATTTCGACAAATTGATGTACACTACAATAAATTTGTACATTACTTGTACATTATTTATAATATACTATACTAAAATAGTGAAAATTACATAAAATTTGTCAAAATACTATGTATTGGGGTAAATTTTGAAAGGAAATTCTCTCCGTGTAGTCATAACTCCTCCGTTCTTTTGAGAAGATTTTTTTATAAATTTCTTTTCTTATAAAATCTGCGAGAGAATCTCTGCGTTATAAAATAATGAATGGAAAAAAATCAACATTTTGATTCCACAATTCATTACGGTTGATAAATGTACAAATGGCCCTTTTTCCACTCAAACTCGGGCGATTAAAAGAGAAGAACGAGTAGAGAAATAAACAGAGAGAATAACCAGAAATAACTTGGAATCGCAGTGCGATGGTATCGTAAGGTATCGGTCTGTTTACTCGAACGGAGGGGAGGGGAAACTAGAATAAAGCAGATACACGATTGCGTAAGTTCGTATGGTTTACTTGATAGACAGATGAGTGAGAGAGAGGGAGAGAGAAGACAAGAAAAAGACGCCGGCGTTTCTCGCATCAAGCCTGTCGATAGGTTGAAGCATATAATGGGAACATTGTCGGACGCACGCCGACGTGTCTGCACCGCACGCGGAAAATCGGAGTCTGGCCTCTCGACTAAACAGGAAGGCGGCTGTGTGACTCTCCGAGAGCTTAGAGCCAATTTCAGCAACGTCAAACATCATCAATTTACATTACTCTAAATTCTTTGTCTAGCTGCTGTAATTAATTACGTTTCAGGAAGAAAGAAATTCACTTAAATTGTAACGGAAAGATTTAGTTAATCAATATAAAATCTGCTTTGAAGATGTATTTTTTTTTTATCTAAAAGTTTGTTAGATCTGAGATTTAATGTGCTCTCAAAGAAGTGCACAGCTTTAAAAATCTTATTTGAGTATAATAATATTGATACATAATGACAGAAAACACTTTGTAAATGCATCGAACACGGCATTAATTACATAGCCACAGAAAAAATGAGACCATTAGAATCGCAGCATTGCACTGAAAGGGTTAATAAAATAATGCGAAACGAAAGTAGATGCCTTAGACACGTGCTTGTTAATGAAATCGGACGAGAGGAAGAGAGGAAAGTCGGAGACGCGGAGTCGACTGTGTCAACTTTTTACTTCATTAATTTTAGTTAAGCGTTCTTTAAGTTAAGCACGTGCCCAACGATATAAAAGATCCGGGACGGAGTACGTACACACGATGAATATTTTAGTCGGCCATAATTAATATTAATCGTAGTTCGTGAAGCAGAATGAACTCGAGAATTAGGCCGTCTTAAATCATTATTTGCGTCCGGATGAATCATCGTAATTTTTTTATTTCTCAATATTGTATCGAGAGCATAATGGGAGAGCGAACTAAAAGTGAGCGGTGAATTCAGAATTTAAGATCGGTTAACTTCTTTTCACTGTCTCTATTTAGACGTTAACGACGATTATTCTTAATGCGAAAATATTCAAAGAGAGCCGTCTCGCGTTAAAAATATAAAGAATGCTGTTACGCCAGTTAACTCCAAAGTGATCTTAAGTCTCTAATTTCGAGTCTATTTTACAGCGTATAATTTATTGTTTCGACAGTACAGGCAAATGATAGACGATAATCCCCTTGACCCAATAGAATTTTTGTACGGAAGGAACAATGCGCCTTACGAGGGATCGTTCTTTCCGACCTGTTTAACGCGCGCCGTAATTACACGCGTCGGGGAAGAGCGGCTGTATCGCGTGGCTCAAATCGGCGGGGTATCATCCGTCGCGCCGTTAAAACCGTATGATCGATACACCCACCTTGCCCCAGAATCGTGATTTACCTCGGCCATTATTCTCCTCCGTGCCCAATATCCTGCCGCGGCCGATCCTCGTTCCATTAAATCTAAAACCGTCGAAATCACCGCTATTTCGCGAAAAGTGCGTGAAAAGCTGAACGCGAGCTTACGTAATCAAACGCGGAATTAAACGTCGAGGTGCGCGAGAACGCTATTGTTTGGACGCGCGAGCGCGGATCTATCAGCGCTTTGCCACTTTAAGTATACCTACTCTATTTTTAAGCGTACCTTGCCATCGCTCATCTAACGACTTCGGAAAAACAAAACGGTAGATATATTTGTCACGCTGACAAAACAGACGGAATCTTATACTTTGCGACGTCAATAGAAATCGCTATTTTTAAGTAAAAATTGAATCGGTTTACTCGCGGCGTTTTTAATAGACAAATAAACGTATGAATCTTTCTTGCAGCTTTCTCCGCCTCGATTTATTTCGATCTGAAGTTTTCTACGAGGTTTTTCCAGCGGAATCTTTTTTCCTCCGATTGGAATTCAGGAAAATCGAGTTAATCATTCTCGAGTAATGAATCGCTCTCGTGTACGAGTCGCTTCAAGGTCCTTTGATTATGTTACACGAGATGCATCTGTTTCAGTTGCACTTTGATCTCTCGCATTTTCATGGCACGAAAGCGCAGAAGTCAAGTCACAAGATATTGCTTCTTTGTTAGATCAAAGTAGCTCGTTTCGTGATGCGATCAACTGTTTCGCTACTTCGGGACTTGAATATGATGTTGCGGACGCAATTAACGGCAGTCATATTCTTCGACAGGCGCGCTCGTTAGCATTAATCGAGTAAAATGTGTAGAAGCGGATAGCGGGCAATTATTGTGAAATATATGCCATCATTTCTCTTTTGAAGGTAAACGACCCGGAGGATAATGAGAGGGACACGGTGGAGAACGCGAAAGGAAACTCGGACGTCTCGTGGTAATAAGCGTTTTCTTTGTTCGATAAAAAAAAAGAATCAATAACATTTTCCTACTTCTCACTTCTCTCTCAATTTAGACTGCTCGCTATTATTAGTTTCTTATACTAATACTCTTTCGAGATGTGCTCGTTAAATATAAAATCGTCTTTAAGTGCCGCTTTGCGTCTTTCTGAATCCTTTAAAGATTCTATGAAACGCTTATAGGGCAAATTATCGAGACGATTATTTGTTTAGATTTTCTTTCTTTCCTTCTTCTCCATTTATGTGTTTGTCGTATAATTTAATTTAATGAGATGTTTTAAGTAGTATATATCAATGAGAAACGCGAGTCTATGATTTGAAGAGCTGGAGAATTTTCCATTTCTTGTTTTTAAGAATATTCTGCGTTTGGTAATATTTCCTAAGTATTTTGACAAACGATAAATGGTGAAATGTTGTTACGTCGCGAAAAATTATATTGCTAGTTCTCGCTCATTTTATCGTTGGAACTTTCCCATTGTTTTTCGGCAGGAATTACAACCAGCGAGATGAGAAGAAATCGAGCGGGAAGGAGATGCGACTCGTAATCGTCGTCGGATTATTAGCGGTGACCGTTATCGCTCTTATTGTAGCACTGACTTTGCAGATGGCGATCTTTCGCAAAGAGGAGTACAAGGAGATGTGCCAGAGCGAGGAATGCATTAAAACAGGTATATATCTCTCATCGACGCCCCGGTTATATTTTCGAAATAAAAATTTAAAAAACTAACTCTCGATTGTCGAAGGAAAAGCGATCGAGAGTTAGTCCAATTTTTATTTCACTCAGATTGATTACGATTGACGCTGATATGTAAGGTGGTTTCACGATAAATTTACGTTTATTATAGCGGCGCGAGTGATAGGCGCGATGAACAGATCCGTGGATCCCTGCGAGGATTTCTACAACTTCGCCTGCGGCGGCTGGATCAACAAGCATCCGATTCCTCAAAGTCAGAGCTTCTGGGATCAGCTGAGCTTGCTCAGGGAGGAACTTCTGCAGAATTTAAGGATTTTGCTCGAGGAGCCGGATAAGGAGACCGATCTTAAGCCGGTGAAGCTGGCGAGAGCTCTTTACAGGACCTGCATGGATGTCGGTAAGCGCCTTAAGAATTGAAGAATTAAATGACTTGGGGCGAAGTATTTTGGAGGAAAGAATTTTAAAAATTTTGCAAAGAGAGAAAGAAATTTCTTTAGTCACACGAATATTAATTATTATTAAATTTTTTAATTAAGAAAATTTACTGAACTTACAAAATAAACACCATAAAAAAATATGAAAAAATAATAGCTTTGTCAATATACAGTTTCTAAAAATAATTTTAAAAAGAGACTGCAGGCATAGGAAGGTTATAAATTATTCTTAAATTGAAAGGCATTACAAAGATACAAAGCGTTTTCCCGGTACCGAGGAAAAGGAACGATGATTGTTTCCACGCGAACCAATTCTCTATCAAGATTTCCTATCGTTAACTCTTGTAATCTCGCTACTTCGACAATAAATTATTCATTAATTGTCGCTCTCCCGTGCAAGGATAGATTGCGCGTAATGGCATTTACATAAGCATAAATTCGAAGGAATAAACCTATACCTAATAATACATTGCCGCACGCATTGCTGACGTATCATTACCGTGATAATAACGTAATCAATAATAACGTAATAAGATAATGTGATTACTTTATTAACGTGAAGGAGCAACCGGATCTCGTGTCTGCCTTCGAATGATTGTGATCGTAAATCGGGAAAACCATGCGAGCGCACGATTTAAATAGAAACAACGGTTGTATTAAATCTTTCCGCGTGGAAAATGGAAGTAGAAGTAAGCGTTACGTGTTAGTTTAAACCAGGCTGTAAAACGTCTATTTGCAGCCATGATGATGGAGAACGTATATTGAAAATTATCGGCAAATTATCGGATTACAGCGAGTGTCGAGGCTATGGGATTGGAACCCATCTTCGAGATACTCGATAGTCTAGGTTTGCCAAAGGACGCGCCGATGCAGGGCAAAATACCCTCTCTCGACATATCGAGGATAGCTGGAATAGGGCAGCGCAGGCTAAGTTTGAACCTCTTCACCAATTTCTACATCAGCGAGGATGTTAAGGATACCACGAGGAATCGGATGGTGGTGAGAATTTTAATAAAAGAAATTTAGAGCGAGAGAAGGAGAGGGAACCGTTCAATAAGTAAAATAAAAAACAATTCTGCGAATACAAAATTCAAAGGAATTTTGTATCAGAAATAAGAAATTTTTTTTTAAATATAAAGATTAAAAAAACGTAGAATATTTTAATATTTCAAAATTCTATTAAATTATATTCAAGAGCTTAATAAATAATTTTATTTTCTATTTTCACGAAAAAAAGAAAATTAAGTATGTATTTTTTAAAGTTGAGTAATTCAATTTGAATTATATAACCTAACTCGCATAAATGAATTGCTCTTCGTGGAAAAATAATTTTTCTGCATGGATACTGTACATCTCCTCGTGACAAAGTGCAGAGAACGAAATTATTTTTCAGCTGGAGCAAGTATCCCCCGGATTTAGTGAGCGTTACTTATTGGACCCGCGACGTTTTCAATCGGAACTAATGGAGTATAAAAAGTACATAAAATCTATGCTCGAACTAGCGGGGGCCGGTAATATGAGTGCGAATTACGCTAACGAGATTTTAGAGTTCAGCACAAAACTTGCCAAGGTAAGTGGCTTATACGAATTCTCAGGATTTTAATTTTCTTCTTGTATTTCTAGTTATGTCATATAGTATCCTGTATTAATTTTTAGTTCCTGTATCTTTATGAAAGATATAATATATGTATTTATAATATTATATATATAATTAAAAATATTTTTTTAATGCACTGTACTTGAGACTACCTATTTAGTGTTAATGATAACAAATTAAAAGTTTAGTAATTAAACTTACATTTTTAATAAAGATTTGATAATCTGTTGAATAATCAAGCGGTTTTTATTCTCGATTACTCAGCTTCCAATGTGAGAACAATCGTTTTCAGGAATACGTTTAATTCTTTTGAAATTCGTCCAGATCATGGCGACGAACGAGGAGCGGCGCAGTTCGGATCATCTCCTTCACGAAGTGACGATCGACGACCTGCAACAGCTCACCGATCTACACGCGCAGCAGGTAAATCGACATTTCTGTTTAAACCGGGAGCACTTTTGCATAACGCTGCATAACGCATAAGGCGTGAGGCAGTAAGAGAATCAACCAATCAGAGTATAAAATGAAGGACTCTGATTAACTGATTTTCTTATGCCTTATGTCTTAAGCGTTATGCAGCGTTATGCAAAAGTTCGTGCTCCCGGCTTTATTTTTTATTTTTTTCGTGAGAATATTCGTGCGTATCATATAAGACCCGTGTTAAATTAATACGAGATACGCGTTCGCAATATTTACATTTTAGCGAGGAATACTTCGAAACATGTTATTCTCATCAAAATTCCGATTAAAGTTCAACAGATAAAACTCCGCTGGGGCAATTAAGCGAGTAATATTTAAAAACTAATATTTAAAAAGTAATATTTAAAAACTTGCATGATTATTACGAGACACGATATTAAAAAAATTAAAATTCCATCACGACCTATTAGTATAATATTTAGAATACCGATTAAAATTTTCGCACAAGCTTGCTTATTCGCCAACGATTGTTTTAATTTTAATCCCCAAATTTATTCGTATCTATTTTTTTCCTAATTGTAAGTTGGATCGCGGGCTGAAAATAAAGGGAGATAAATCTCACTTTCAATGCGTAGAGTAATTAAGGGCGCGAGACGCTGTTTCAGTGGAACTGGACGCGATACATAGAGGCCGTGTTCGAGAACACGAACGTCACGATAAATCCGGCCGTGGATCGAGTTATCGTCGTGGACCTGCAGTATTTGCAGAAATTGCCGCTGCTGCTGTCCGTCACTCCGCCCGCCACGATAGGTACGTTCAATTTCGGCACCCTCGTCAAACCGTCGAGCGAGATTGTCACTTGGGGTAATGCGTGCTTGTCCAATCTGCATCGCATATTGTTGCTTTTCCACTCGCGTCCATTTACGTTTGCTGTGTAAGAGAAGAGAAAGAGAACTGCGCAATGCGGAAGCATTCTCTTTGAGTCCATATATTCGAATGACTTTTACACACAACGTGTTTTTTATTCCCTCCCACGAAATAATTGCGAATAATTAAGTAAATTGATTAAAGTAATAAGCGATAGATTGAGGAAATTGAGTAAATTAAATAAAGCGATAAACCGATTTGCTGATAACGTCACGAAAACGAGAAGTGCTTTCATGTAAATTCGCGTTAAAAAGTTTCCTTAAGCTTCTCCCTCAATTACAAGTTTGTCCTGGAATACCATTGAAAATCGCTGCGAAGACGTTTGAAAGTGATTCGATAATCCATAATAACGGTATAATATCGGGTGTTTCTACGCCCGAGGGAAGGAAAAAGAAGTCGGGCGAGAAGGGGTCACCGAGGGGTCGAAAGCTATCGGAAAGCTGCACCGTATCTAGCAGAAATAAGTCCGCGATTGTTTCGCCGCGTTAAAACGTGCCGGCCGGCGATTACTTATACGTGCCGGCCGATAAATAACGTTAACGTCGAGCTGCCGATTTTTCAGTGCGATACGTCTGGTGGAGCGTGTACACGTTCGTTGCCCCCATGACGCTGCAAAAGTTCCGCGACCTCGGCTTCCAGTTTCTGCAGAGCGTCTTCGGGCTGAAGGAGAAGACGCCGCGCTGGAAGGAGTGCACCGGGAACGCCAACGTAAACTTCGGCATGGCCCTGAGCTACATCTACGCGCAGAGACATTTCAGCGAGCAGTCACGAGAAAAGGTTCGCACGGGATCGCACGTGCGGCGATTAATTATTCCGGAAGTACTTATTCGGAGGCGGGGTCGGCAAACTGCGCCTCTCCATCGTCTGTCTTTACACGGCCAAAATATAATGACGATTATTATATTCATTTTATTCGATTATATGAATAATTTTTTTTATTATATTAATGATAATAACTTTTATATTATTATATTTTTACTTTATCAATAACAAATTTGTGGAAGTTATCTTTTTTCTTGTTACTATCATCATTATTTTTATATCTTCTTGGCCCGAAAAGTTTGAAATATTAATATCCAACCTTTTTCTATCCTGAAGAAAGTTTGCCGACTTCGAATTTATGAGATACCCTAAAAGTGGAACTCGGGCTTTATCCAATATTTTCTTAGCAGACATGAGAGGATATAACGACGATAATTTATCACTAATCATTGTCGATAGGCGTTGGAGATGCTGCTGGATATCAGAGCGGCCTTCGACGAAATGGTCACGGAGCTGGACTGGATGGATGCCGGGACGAGGGCACGAGCCCACAGCAAATTGCACGCGATGAGACCGTTCGTAGGATTTCCCGACTGGATCACGAATCCAGAGGAACTGAACAAGTTTTACGACGGAGTGAGTTTCTCCTTGACTGACGATTACATCTGCAATACATCCTAATCTAGCTACAAAAAAAAATTGCAATGCCCTGCGGACATCTGTTTAGGCGGAGGTGATCGATGGGAAGCTGTTCGCGACTTTACTGAAGCTAACTGACGTGGCGTTGAAAAAGAGCTTCAACAATTTGCGCGAGAAGCCCGACAGGAGCAGATGGATATCGACGGGCACGACAGTAAACGCGTTTTACAGCGCGATATTAAACTCAGTCAGTAAGTGTCTCAGTGCCAATTTTTCAATTAGCTGAAGTAGACTTTTTTTTTAATTAGCACACACGCTCCGCATCGTTGTCGCTTTACAACACCAATTTAATATTTGATTATTCGAAACTTAAAAGGAATGTGTGATCTCTAGCTTTTCCAGCTGGTATCCTGCATCCCCCGTTCTACGGCAACGGATTGGAGTACGTATAAACGTTTTACACACACGGCAAAATTTTCATGAACTCATACTTTACTCGATTAGTCTCTCTTATACGAAACGGATAATCCTAAATATTCTGTGCATCGCTCAATTAGATTTTACATGGCTGACAATGAGTGTCATGTCATACTCTTTCCGAGAAATTTTTAAACGAATTTGTATAAAATTCACAAAAATTAATATTAATCATAAGCTCTCCTGATTCATTAAAATAAATATTTAAAATTATTCTGTTACAAACGCGATTTACTTGTGCTATATATATATTATTTCAAGACGTAAAGATATGAGCTTCCATGAAAACGAGAATCTTTATCATAAATCGCTAAAACTCCAACATTTCGCGCTGCAGGTCCATCAATTACGGCGCTATGGGAGCGATTATGGGCCACGAGCTTACGCATGGTTTCGACGATCAAGGTGCGTTAATCGGCGGCGCGACGCGCGACTCGCGCAATGTCGCTAAAACGCGGCAATTCTTCCGCCTTTTATCTCTTTAGCACCATAATATGCCCGCATATCCGCGTTAATGCCGTGGAATTACCGTGGATTTTTTGTGCCAGGTCGCCGGTACGACGAGAACGGTAATTTACGGCAGTGGTGGAGCGACGAGACGTTACGACACTATCACGAGAAAGTGCAGTGTATGATCGAGCAGTATAGCAGTTATCATTTGCCGGAGCTGGGCGATAATTTCACGGTGAGCGTCGCGCGGTGGCAACGTGCCCGTTGTTTAGCTCGTCGAAAGCACCGTGAAGAAAAGCGTGCCAAGGCGCCCCTCGCTCGCTCGCTCGCGCGTTCAACTCTGCAACGTTCGACTCACCTTCTGATTTTCAGGTGAACGGCATCAATACGCAGGGTGAAAACATTGCCGACAACGGCGGCATCAGGGAGGCTTACAGGGCGTATCAGCGGCTGATTGCGCGCAGTCCGTATCAGCAGGCACTGCCTGGTCTCGTCGACTACAGCAACGAACAATTGTTCTTCTTGGGTTTCGCACAGGTAAAAAAAAAAAAAGAAAAAATGAGCATGCGTTTTTCACGACTCTGCGAAACAAAATTAGTTTTTGTTCAATAACAAATTATCAATTTTTAGCGTTTGGTAAAAAAATCAGCCTTCTTTTGAGAAAATAATTTTCTTAATAGTACTCAACGGAGTGTATTTAAATAACAATAAAAGTTAATGTTGTCTATTCAATATATTGCTATTGCATAAAACTGAAAATGAAGAAAAAAAAATGTTTTACATATTGTTATTTAAATATTTTATAAAAATTATGTACATATATAGATGAGATTTATAGAATTTTAGAATTATTAAAGTGGCGATTTTTTTTCTCTTGTCGAACTAAGAAATTGTCACGAAGATCTATCTACAAATGCTAGATACAAATAAAAAAACTCGCGAAGAGCTTTGCACGCAAATGAAGATTTCATAATTTTCTTGGCGTGTAAAGCTTCACAAGATCGAGTTACGTTTAATCGTTTTTTTTTTTCAAGGTCTGGTGCGGCAATTATACGAACGGATCGTTAAAGTCCAAGGTAATAGAAGGTGTCCACGCACCAAATCACTTTCGAGTTATCGGCACGCTGTCGAACAACGCGGAGTTCGCGAAGGCCTGGAAGTGCCCGCTCGGTAGTCCAATGAACCCGTCGCACAAGTGCATCTTGTGGTAGACATCCTTCGTTTATTATTGCGAGCGGAACGCCGTTAACGACGCCTAGAAACTGTTATCTCGCTTGGGCGTAATCTCTCCCCGGTACAGAAGAAGACGTCGTCGGTGCAGTGATAAGTCTAAGAAAATTGTAAATAGATTGATTTCTAATTATAGGAATTAGCGAGTAATTTATTAAGCACTTAGGCGCCCTATTCGTACTCGGTAAGCTTATCATGTAAATATCACACAGATGAAATAATAACTTTTATAAAAGAGAGATCCCTCTCGCTGAATTGAATTTTAATTTTTTCCCGTCGTTTTCTTCCTTTTCTTCTTTGGCACGATCCCTTTTCCCGCACCGGCCTTCTTCTTCATCTTCCTAGGTGGAGCATCCTCGACGTCTGTCATCGGTAATTTTACTTTGTGCTTCTTGGGAAGGGGAGACGGTTCCTCAATTTTACTCGACTTTTTAATCTTCTTCGCTGGTGAAGTGACCTTTGATGCGGCACTATTTTCCCTTCGTTTTTTATTAGAAGGATTCGCTGGTGAAGTGACCTTTGATGCGGCACTGTTTTCCCTTTGTTTTTTATTAGAAAGATTTGTCTCGTTCGCTTTCAAGAGTTTCTTCTTCTTCTTAGGTTTATCAATGACATCTTCCGTCTCTAAAGACCTGTCCCTCTTCTTCAATGAGACAACAGTCTCTTTTACTTTTGGAGCTTTCTTCTTTGAATGCTGAACATTGTCTGCAGCGTCCTCCACAGCTCTCTTCTTTTTATTCTTCTTTTCTTGCGCTTTTTCTTTAGGATTTCTAATATCCGCGACTTCCAAATCCTCCTCATTCTCAATAATAACTTCCTGCTTCAGTCTGAGCCTGTTCTTTTTCTTCGCTTCCTGCTCTTCATCCGATTGAATCTCTTTCTGCTGCACCAAATCTTTGTAACCCTCTGCCAGAGAAAGGCAAGTAATTCTGGCACCACAATTAACGCTGTGCAACATATCCAAACTGTGTGTGTTGTATCTCCAAAGTTTGATCTCGCCGGAGCTGGAGGCGCTCACCAGCAGATCGTTGATGTGCGCGAGACACTTCACTCTCATGCTGTGCGCCTTGGTGTTTATCGTAGGCAGGGAGGTCTTCAGATCGCAAAATTTTATATCACCGTCCTCGAAACCGATCGCGATTAAATCGTCCTGCAAGAACTCGACGCAGATGACCTTCGAGTCGAACGCGAGCTCCTTGTCTATCCCGGCCGATTCCACCGAGTAAATGTAGACATTCGTGTTGACGGCCAACAGATACCTCTCGCCGCTCGGACTCCACTTGACAACGGTTATCCACTTGGCGTAAGACTTCAGCTTTGGCACCAAGTTGGTGGCGTAGGCCGGTCTGCCCTTGACCAGATTCCACGTTCTGAGCACGCCGTCCTCGCCGGTGGACAGCGCCAGCTTGCCCGACGGGTGAATGGCCAGGGTATTGACAGCCGAGCCCTTGTGCGCGGTCGACCAGACCTTCTCCAGCAGCCAGCTGCCGCAGCGAGTGGCGGTTATGCTTCCGTCGCTGCTGCACGCGAACAGATGCGAGCCTTCCGGAGTAAACGCGATGCAGTTGATGGTATCTGGCAGAGAAGACACGAAGATCGTTACTCTTGTGACAGAAATTTATATAATATAAATATGGAATAAATATACGCTTATCCACATACCCGTATGAAGCATCAACCTGCCGGACTCCCGTCGGCAGCGCATGTCGTACAGGCACACCGCTTCATCGGCGCCGGCTGAAGCCAGATAGTGTTTACTACTGGCGACGCTGCGCACGCTTGCGAGATGACTGTGCGTCGCAAAGCTCTGCTCCAATTTGTACTCCTGCGAGGACAGAAAGGCGAGAAAACGAAATCTTTAATCAGAATACACATATGTAATTGATTTGGAATCAATTTGGAGATCCTTCATTTGAAACTTTGATTGAAAACTACGCCTTTCTTCTCCAGAACAATCTCAAATGCAGCATGTCCTTATAACGAAATGTATAAATGTATAAATACGTAAATGACTGCCAGAGGCGTATTTTTCTTGGATATATTTAGAGGATTTATCGCGTCGAACTTCGTGATTCGCGAACCTAACCTATATACACAAGGCACACGCGTGACGAAATATTACTTACATTCACGATGTTGCGCACTTTGTAGCCGAGTAAATATTGCTCGTACGTTCCCACTATGATCTCGAACGGATTCGATAACCTCGCGTCCGAATGCATCTTCCTTCTATCACGTTACACGTACCGCATCGGTGAAACGAGCAGTCGCACACGTGCGTAAACGAGATTCCATTAGTAGACGCCGGACGCCGCTTGACGTCGCTCGAATCCTCGAATCGAAGTTCTCGCCGCGTTTTTAGTTGATCGATCGAGCCGTTCGAATCAATAATTATTACACGACGATAAAATCATGATGCATAGGTATGCAAGAAAAAAATTTGTTACATATACATATATAATTATAAACGTAAGAAGTATAACAATAACACATGTATATAAATTTGTCTCTTCTTATTCCTGTATTTATCATATTATATGTTTAGGGTTGCCATTATCATTTAGGACTATTAAATTTCATAATTATATTTTAATTCATATATCCCCTAATTAACGATATTCAAAATCGGGATGAGAAAAATTTACTTCGCCTTTAAAATGAATGTGAAACGGAGGCGATTCGATTAAAAGACGTACATCTTACAGCTGAGATTTAAATAAAGAAAAGAGATAGTTTTTTAATTCACTTTAGTATTTTATGTACTTATCTTTTTTTTGGCAGTAAAATTATACTCTGCGATTAAACCAGTATTGAATAAAATTTCCAAACTGGTGTAGTGCTAAAATGCAGTATTAAAACTGAACAATGAAAGATATAGTTTTTCTCGATATTTCCGAGAGGAACATTCGAAAATTATATTACAAATTAATTATATAGGTCCGATAATTAAATAATAAATATTTAATTACTTGCAACAAGGTAATGAAGAGCTATCTCTTTGCGAGAATAACTTTGGGCCATGGTCCTTCCTTTAAAATCTTCAGGCAGACGTTAAATTGTTGACGTGTTGATATCGCGCGATGCGATAACGCTGACGACACAAATATTTACGTAAGACGATAAGGGGGCAAGCGAGATATGTTTATATACTTCTAGGACGTAATATTTCGAATATTAGCCAGTCAGTTTCGCGTTGTCACTCTGCCGCGTTAGAGTTAAGCGTTTGGTGCAATTTAGGAAAATGATTGACGCCAAGATCATCGCTGTCGATGTGCAGGATATAAGATTTCCGACGTCGTTGAAACGCGATGGAAGCGACGCAATGGTATGCATTAGACACAATTTGCATATAATTACATATTATTCACCGCTAGTGTTATTCCTGGCAAATCGACAAGTACACATTCGGGCCATATGTATACATACATTAAATTAATATGTGCATATATTTGCGCATATTAATTCACGCTAGCAGCGAATACATATATCGTTACGCAAATTAATATTAACTTAATAAAATGAATATTAAATCTATTACTCGTAAAGGATAATATATGTATTAATATTTATTTACTTGCAACCGACGCAGCTAATTATAATACTTTGGATTGCACGCTAAATTAATTATTATCAATTTTTTATGTGCAATCGTTATATTTCACATAGTCAAGATTTTATGTTTAACAATGTTGATCTCTGTTTATGACAACAGCATACCGATCCTGATTACTCTTGCGTGTATGTAACGATTATAACAAACACAGGACATAAAGGATACGGTCTTACGTTCACCCTGGGAAGAGGAACTGAGATAGGTATTATATATATATTATATATATATATATATATATAAAATTAATAATATTCTAAATAATAAATGTACTATTTCAATAATAATTTTTCTAGTTGCGCAGGCATGCAAGTCTCTGGCCTTAATCGTAATGTATAAAAAAACAACAAGCATTTATGGTGATTTTGCGAGATTTTGGAGACGTTTAACGAGCGACTCGCAACTGAGATGGGTAACGTATAACGAAGAGTAACGCAATAATTATGTATAATACATAATTATATAATACATATAACACGACTGTCGACGTGTAATTTGGAATACTTTAGGTCGAACCGGAGAAAGGTGTGATACATCTGGCCACAGCGGCTATTATAAACGCACTGTGGGACTTGTGGGCCCGGATCGAGAGGAAACCTGTCTGGAAGCTTCTATCGGACATGACACCCCAGGAGCTCGTGTCCGTTATAGATTTCAGATACATGTAAGCCGAAATTCTTTCTCCGTGAAACACGAAGCTCACGAATTCGGAGTTTGCATTCACGCTCACGAGAGACCGAATTCCGCGTGTGTATTTCTATATGCAGTAGGGACATAGTGGACGAGGAAAACGCGCGAAGGATACTCGAGGAAAAGAAGGAACTCAGGCAGGAGCGAGAGAGGCAGCTGCTGGCGAACGGATATCCCGCGTACACCACCCAGGTCGGGTGGCTGGGCTACAGCGACCAGCAGCTCGAGGATCTCTGCCGAAAGTTTCTCGGGCTCGGTTACACGGCGTTCAAGATCAAGGTGGGCGGGAATCTGCAGGACGACTTGAGACGGTGCGAGGTGATACGCAGGGCGATCGGCCACGAGAACAAGCTGATGGTGGACGCGAATCAGGTGTGGGACGTGAACGAGGCGATCGAGTGGATGCAGGCGCTGGCGAGATTCAAGCCGACTTGGATCGAGGAGCCGACGTCGCCCGACGACATCTTCGGGCACGCTCAGATACGGGAGAGTCTACGGCAGCACGGTATCGGCGTCGCCACCGGCGAGATGTGCGCGAATCGCGTCCTGTTCAAGCAGTTCCTGAAGTACAAGGCGATCGACTATTGCCAGGTAGACTCGGCGAGGATCGGCGGGGTCAACGAGATCCTGGCTGTATACCTGATGGCTTACATAACTGAAAGTAAGCGTACTATCAGTGATTTAAAATCTTCAAGATTTAGACCTTTTCCTTCGTCTCGATATCTCAAAGAACAGTTCTTGACGAAATTACAACTGATTTCTATTTAGAGGAAAATAACAAAAAAATGTAACGCGGAAACTGTTTTGTTTTTACAGTACCAGTTTGCCCGCACGCCGGTGGAGTAGGTTTGTGCGAGATGATTCAGCATCTCCAAATGTGGGATTACATTTGCTTAAGTCAGACCACTGAAAATCGCGTGATCGAATTCGTGGACCAACAGCACGAGCACTTCGAGGATCCTGTTCGCATTGAGAACGCATGTTACATGCCGCCCATGAGTCCCGGATACTCGACCAAACTTAAGAATGAGAGCATCGTAGAGTACGCCTATCCAGAAGGCAATCAGTGGAAAAATAAAATTACTGAAGAAAAAGGAGCTGATGAATCCGAGACATCTGATTAAGAGACTTTTTTTTTAAAAAGTTCATGTATATACTTATATAATTCTTCTATAAAAACGATCTGCATAAAATTACATATAAACACCTTTTAAATAAAATATATGTATACACGGCCTATTTGATGTATAAAGATAAATATAAAAATAAATCATCCTTTTTAAATTGCCATATTCAATAAATAAAGAATAAAAAATTCTCATAACAAATATTCTTCCATAATAAATATTTTTAACCTCACCAAGTATTCTACTGATAAATTGTACTAGATTTTCATCTCGCTGGCAAAAAGACAAGTAACAAATAGAATTATAATATTTTATAGTTTAGTAGAATTTTCCAGGCGAGATTTCACATAGTCTGTCTGTAAAAAAAAAATAGCAATATATATAATAAAGAAATTTATATCTTTCATTTATATGTATTCAATAGGGTTTACAATAAGCTATACTTACACTTACTAAAAACGTGGAACTGAACATCGCCTTCCTTATGAAGTTCAATTTCTCTATTGGCGAAATAACATGCAAATGCAAATGATTGACGGTATTAAACGGCGGCCAGTGAAATCCAGTTCGTGTAGACGCAGGATCGAGCTTCATCTTTTCAGAGATAATGTCTACCGTGGCAATAATCTTGTCGACTGAAATTCAGATATAAAAACGATTCAGATATATATAAGATAAAGAATATTGGAAAAAGATCAATAATCAATTAGTCAGATTGTAAATACGTATACTCCAGATATTGCAGATTTATATAATTATTTAATAAAACTCGTCTTAAATATGTTGACAAAGATAAGTGTGTGACACTCACGAAGCTCAGAATCTTCAGGCTGAAGCGTCTTCGCATTGCGTATATGTTTATTCGGTATAATCAAATAATGATGCGTGGACACTGGATTAATGTCTTTAATGCACGTGACATCGTCATCCTGGCAACGACAAAAAAATATATGTTACGTGCACGTTATAATGTACGCATTTCTATACTGAATCTGCATGCATGCATGTGGATTTTATCTGTCAGATGATTACGTTTTGGAGGTTAATCTCTAGTACCTCGTAAATTTTCACCCCGGGCGCCTCGTTCCTAATAATTTTACAGAAGACACAGTTCGGCAGCTGATGAGCCATTGAAATTTAATTGTTAATTTCGTATATTTAATTCGACGACACCTAACGACAGCTTTATCCCGAAACTCCGAATGATTTGCGTCATGAGTATACGTGAGTCACTTCTGGACTGTACAGTGTAACAACTGTGCACGACGTGTATCTTACGAGCGGTTGAAAAATCGTCGAAGTTATCAGAGGTGCATGCTTGAGCAGGAGGATTGCGCGGAGGGTAGACCGCTGACCGCGTTCGACTCATCTCTTATATATATTCGAGAATCATGTACCGATAGACGATAACGAGAGATTAGAAAATTATACTCGTGTCTTTCGAGACCCTCGAAAAATCGCAAATTTACGCGAGAAGCATGTACGGCGAGGAGGTTGTCGGAACAGTACCCGCAGCGAGCAGCCATCTCAGTCTCTATTACGTCAGAACTCCCTCACCCCCCCGTATATTAGCGCCAGTACATCCATTTTTTAAATGGGTACTACATAGCTACATATAATTGACGTGGTATTATTAAAACTGTACCGAAGATAACAATCACTATTTCATTATTGACAGTAAAAAGTTTACATAATTTTCAATTTTCGCTTCATTTGTTGCATGGATACACGTATTTTTTTAATTTTCACAACGTTAATTGCTTTACGTATATATGTATATACAAACGTTGTAAAATATAAAATAGTGATTTGGTCACGTAAAACGATATCGTGTTTGTTATCCCCTGCAGTACAGACAAAATCCATTAGTAATATCATCGTTTTCTAATTACCCCCGGGCTCTGCACTTCACACTCACGAAAATCTGCCTTCGGCCGGCCGTCTGTAATTAAGTAATAATAACACCTCGTCGGTGAACACAATAAGCAAAATGAAATAATTTTTAATAAACAATTTTCTTGCAATATAGCTACATATACATATATTGCACTAGTCTGCATGCTAAATAATTTGCTTAACAATATATATAGGTATTTTATTAAATAAGCATGTTAAATGAGCGGTGCGTTAATCGTGAAAATCGTTCACATACGCGTTATAGATATTCGAAATTTTCTTTTTCTCGATGACTATTATGACAGTCATAATATAAATAAAATAATATTCTAAATTATTTTAATTCATCGCGAAAGAACATCTTTGCATTTAAAAATGACATTGTTAATATAATATCGATATAAATTTATTTAAGATATGTATTTCTCGAGAATTGCTCACACTTTCGCCCGTTGGCAAATTGGAATTTTTGTCTTTCGTTAATCATTATGCAAAAATAATGTTCTAGAATATTTTATTGTTAAAGTCTTTTCGAGAAAGCATGCTTCGCATTAAAGGACATGTGAAATTGCTAATGTATAAAGATATATTTCTTAAAAAATCACCGCGTCTACTGTCTCCCGTCGGCGGAAGATTTTAATCGAGATTCCTCTTTTTCGTTGATTATCGTCATGCAGCAATATTCTAAATCATTTTATCGTTTAATTCTTCTCATGAGATAATCTTCTCGAGAAGAATTAAACGATAAAATAATTAAGATTATTGTGGCATGGTGATAATCAACGAAAAGAGGAACCTCCAAGTGCCGACGGGAGACAGCAGGCGCGGTGATTTTCCGAGAAATGCCTTTATACAGTAGCAATTTCACGTCTCTCGTTAATCATTACGCAACAATAATGTTCTAGAATATTTTATTGTTTAAGGCTTCTCGAGAAAGCACGCTTCGCATTAAAGGACACGTGAAATTCCTACTGTATAAAGATATATTTCTTAAAAAATCACCGCGTCTACTGTCTCCCGTCGGCGGAAGATTTTAATCGAGATTCCTCTTTTTCGTTGATTATTTATCGTCATGCAGCAATATTCTAAATCATTTTATCGTTTAATTCTTCTCATGAGATAATCTTCTTGAGAAGAATTAAACGATAAAATGATTAAGATTATTGTGGCATGGTGATAATCAACGAAAAGAGGAACCTCCAAGTGCCGACGGGAGACAGCAGGCGCGGTGTGATCTGAGGGGCTCGACGAAACTCCGAAAAGCGACACGCTGGATTATTACCTATATCTGCAATCCTTGTATTCTTTAATGCTAGTCTCATACCATTTTGAAAAGAATTAAACGATAAAATAATTTAGAATATTGTTGCATGGATGATAACGAAAAGGAGGAACATACTCCGCCGACGGGAGATAGATATAATAGGCGCGGTGATTTTCCGAGAAATGCCTTTATACAGTAGCAATTTCACGTCTCTCGTTAATCATTATGCAACTATAACGTTCTAGAATATTTTATTATTTAAGTCTTCTCGGGAAAGCACGCTTCGCATTAAAAGGCACGTGAATTGTAACTGTACAAAGGCACATTTCTCGAAAAATCACGCCTCCCGTTGACCACTGTCTCTCGTCGGCGTTTGGAGCTATAATTCCTCTTTCTCGTTGATTATCATTATTATTGGAACAATGTTCTAAATCATTTTATCGTTTAATTCTTCTCAAGAGTCAGTTATCTTAAGAAGAATTATACAATAAAATAATTTAGAATAAATTGTTGCATGATAATAATCAACGAAAAAGAGGAAGCTCCAAATGCCGACGGGAGACAGTCGCCGACGGGAGGCGTGATTTTTCGAGAAATACATATCTTTTATACAGTATAGCAAATGTTTCACGTACGTGCCCTTTAATGCAAAACATGCTTTCTCGAGAAGACAGACAATAAAATATTCTAGAACATTATTGTTGCATAATGATTAACGAGAGACGTGAAATTTTTACTGTATAAAGGCAAATCAACGCGCCTATGTTTTCCGTCGCATTCAAATGCCGACGGGAAACAGTAGGCGCGGTGATTTTTCCAGAAATGCGTTTATGTAGTAGCAATTTCATGTGTCCTTTAATTGCGAAGCATGCTTTCTCGAGAAGACCTTATTAATAAAATATTCTAGAACATTATGGTTACATAATAATTAACAAAAAACGTAAATTCCAATTGCCGAGGGTGAGAGTGTGAGCAATCGACATTATTGACAATACGTTTTTAAGTGCAAGGATGCTCTCTCGAGAAGAATTAAAATAATTTAGAATTGCATAATTGCCATTGAGAACAAAGAATTTCGAATATCGACAGGTGGCACCGAACGATTTCCAGTGTTTTTTATGTTTTATCGTAAGAAATAAGTTACCGCGCCTTATACGTAAATTACTTATTTGTCATTTAAACGTATATGTGTATATATAATCAACAGATATTATAATAAATTAAATTTGGAGTAATTTTAATGTTACATTATAATTAAATAATAGTTTAAATTTAATTACGCATCTGTGGAGATGCACAAAGGATCATAAATATTGTTAAAAGTACATATAGAGATGAGAGGTTAAGATCGGAAGAGCACACGTC